AGTCGATCACCATTCACCTGGCCCTGTGCCCTGCTATTAATTTGGACTCTGAGTGCGGAGAGATGCTATAAAGATGATATTATACTTCGAATACACTGTTCTATGTATGATTGTGATTAAATATCAGTGCTACTGGTAATCAAATAGCCTTTCATATATAATAGTAGTTGACATAGAGTTCCTTTGACGTGAATTTTGAATTATAACGATGTTGAGTCATCATCTAAAAAATATTTTTCATCTATAACTTATTTAAAAAAGAATTAAAATGATTTTAAATTTGAAATATGTATACTAAAAATGACTCAAAACAACATTTTTAAGGAAAGAATGTGGTTGAGAATTTAATTTTTTTATTAAAACAGATATTTGACTCAATTTTATGATAAAATTAATTTTGATTGGTGTTAAAACTTATTTCTAACCAGATATTTTATTTTTTACTTTTCTTTGAATTAAAAGTTAAAAAATAACTTAAATCAAGTTGTAAAAATTGCACTAAACATCACCTTTTTAATAGTCCGATAAATGGATTTTGCATTTGGTGTTTGAACATGTGAATAGAACAGTGCTAGTATTTAATTATCTGAAGAGAACTTGTGTTAAAAAACCAGCTTGACACGAACTTTGTGGGATTTACGCACAGTACTGACATTAAAATAATTGGTAAGCTTTTAATCTACCTTTTGTTCTACAGCTCAATTTTCAACATCCTTCAATTGAAAACCAAAATCATAGTTTCAATTCACGGCGGGTCTTGGATTTGATGAAAGAAATGTGTCAACAGTACTCATTAATCTTCAGCGTTAATTAATTATTATTAGTGCTAATTATGTTTATGGGGGGCTTAAGATTTGATGACATCCAGCCTGGAATATATTCTGTCCATTGTTTACCTCTAAGGTTGCTTGGCACTGAAGCATCTCCAAAAAGATGCATTCTCATAGAATGACAATTTTTCACCATAAGGTATTTATCCATGGTGTTTGCCTGCAATTGTCCAAGACTTTCTATAAATGTGCGTGGTTAATTCAGACTTCATTTGTGACACTGGCATGATTACAGTTTCTCTCTTCATAATTTACTTTGACGAAACCTCAATGAACTATGATGTGGAAGATCCGGTAATTGCTGGAAATTATGTGTACCTCCAAAACAAATTTTCTTGTTGGGGTCAGAGATCCTCCTATTGTAAGAATAATAAATTATAATAATATTGAGTAGGAAAAATAAACTAGGAAAACTATTAGAAAAATAGAAAACATGATAATATAGAATAAAAAAATAAAAATAACTAAAAAATATCTATTTTTTTTATAGAAAAACCAAACCCTAGCAAACAACTGTCATCTACCATGAATATTTTTTTAAGTATGATCTACTTTTATTATAAATCTCTAACACAACTATTTTATGTAGATCAATTCATTATGAATCTCTAATGCAATATATTTGTACGAGTCATCCCATTATGGATTTCATTACCAAAATTTCTAATAATAATAAAAAACTAAATACAATTATTTTACGTAGATCGATTCATTATCTCTAATGCAATATATTTGTACGGGTCATCCCATTATGGATTTCATTATCAAAATTTCTAATAATAATAAAAAACTAATATAGATAAAAATAATACACTAGTTTTAAAATGTCAATTTTCTAAGAGAAACCTTTATATTTTGGTTTATACAAGCATGTCTTGTTTTATAATATTTTTCAATAATAATTATTTAACGAACACAATTAATTACTAGAAATCAATGAACACCGATACATATCATTTATAATCTTCAATTAAAACCATTAAAAATTGTTGAGGTTCAATATCAATTAACGAATATGTGATAGCAAAGAATAATAAGATTTATTATAACTCAAAACCTTTAAACCTTTAAATACCAAAAGCATCATAATTATATGTAAAATCCAAAGCATTCAATTTTTATTCATTTAGTCTCGACTTGCCAAAAACCATTACAAATCTATATATAAAAAAACTAAAAAACTCTATTAATACTAAATAGAAATCAAAAAGTTTTTTCCTTCAAATAAAAAACTAGGAAAGCCTAATAATACAAAATAAAAAAATAAAATGAAAAAAAATATATCTATTTTTTAAAATAACTCCTGCATAAACTAGGCTTCAAAAAATCATGCCACCTCACCTAGATTTATAGGAGCATTTGATGGATCATACTCGGACTTAAAGAGGAGGGATTTTACACCTGGGCTTTGAATCCAAGACCAATTACTTTTTAAGCATAGGTTGTGCCTCGTATTAATGTGTTCTGGGTCCGGTGTCTTGTGCGTCAATCCCAGACCCACAGGTTCTGTCTCATAAATAATTAAGAGAGTACTTTTTTAAAATATTTTTTAATAAATTTAAATTTTTTATTTTTATTTTAAATTAATATATTTTCAAATTATTTTAACATGCTAATCTTAAAAATAATTTTTTTAAAATAAAAAAATATTATTACTATATTTTTTGAATGAAAAACATTTTAAAAAACAATTACAATCATTCATTAAAACACACTTTTATAAGATGCTTCCAATGAAATGTATTTTTTTTTTATAAAAAAAGTTTTCAATCGATTACAATCATAGTTTAAAACACACTTTTTTATAAGATGCTTCCAGTGAAATGTATTTTTTTTTATAAAAAAAGTTTTCAATCGAACTAAAGCATGCACTTTTTTCTTTTTTCTTTTCACTTTCATAACCGAGCTTGAGTGTCGTGTACTCTTTTTTTTTTTTTTCACTTTCATAACCGAGCTTGAGTGTTTGCTAAATCCACGAGACTTGCTAAATTTCTTGCAATGAACTGTGATCTAGGCTTCGGCTGGTGGAGTAAAATAAGATTAGAGCAAACAGAAGATCATGGCCTCTGGCTGGCTGCTGATCAGAGCTGATTTACTATTTTTTCCCTACTGTATTTTTGACTTTTATTCAATTCAAAAGTTTTAATAAAATATTATATTTAAAAATATTAAGAATTGAATTTCCAATAAAACTTAATTTTTAAAAACACTATAAAAATAAATAAAAAATCAACCCCTTTAATCTAAAATTCAAGAAAAACATTAAAATTGAATTTAATTACTACTTTTGTTTTTGAGTTCAGTTTTTGACCGTGTGAATGTCACGTGCTTGATGAGAGAATTAAGTAGATAACGCGACCTCTCATAGCTGCACGTGACTGAATTGACAATGAAAACGACTGAAAATTGACCGAGTCTTTATAATTAAACTTTAACGGGCACCCACTTGGCTTTTTCCCCCAGCCTGTTCGAAGCTGGCAAATTAAGTATTCATTAAAATTAATTTTTTTATAAAGATACCATAAATAAGGAGCTAGGCCGTACGTATGTGTGAAATCATACACTACCTTTTCTATATATTTTTTGACCAGTCGAGTGGTATTGATAATTATATATTTTAATTTAATACACTTTAATATTTTGGTAGCCTAACATTCTAAACGAGCACGTTGACAGAGTCATTGGGCCAAATTTTGAAAATATTCTGGCACTTTGTTGAAATAACTTTGGGACGCATAATATAGCTTGATGTAAGTTAAAACTCTTAAAATCCAGAAGAATTATAATCATAGAAAAACATTCAAGACATTTAATTTATATTAATCTATGTTTTTACTTGTTAAAATAATATTATAATCTTTTATATAGAAAACAATACTAGAAAGTTATTGTAATGTTGACTATAAAAAATAAACTAGGTCGTCGAAAACTATTTCCTTCAAATAATGAAAAAGATTAAAAAACATAATAATACACTGAATAAAAATATAAAATTAAATACAAGATATTTGTTTTTCTATCAACTCTGCATCACATTGTTTATTATAATTAAAAATATAAAATTAAATAAGAAAAATATTTATTTTTAAAATCTCATGCACCACATTTTTTATTTGCGTCCGATCTGATGAATCAACTCTATCTCGGGAGACTAATTTTCAACCAGAAATATCATTTTTTATTAAAAAAATCAAATCATATCTTTGAATTAGTTTTGTCTTTTTCTAAGAAGCCTTAACCTTCACGTTTCGGAGACGCTCATCAATTTTATTTGAATATTAATTTTATAATACTTGGCAACAATTCTTGTTTGAAACCTAACAAGTAAATAACACTGTAAACCCAACGAGTAATTTTACAATACTGAGCAATAACAGTTAGCAATTATTTAATAGGCCATGTTTGGAAAAAATATTAAAATCTTATGCTATTTTTCATTAGAACTCTAAGAGTGGAGATTAAATATTTTCCCAAATTAAACAAAGTAATCAACACTGTAAAGCTTTCCACTGGTATGTTAAATCTATGGAAGTTGAATGTGTAACGGATTGCCATGAGGGAACTGTTTCTCGTCAAGATGAACATGTTAGAAAACTTTGTTTATGAATTAGATAAGTCACCGAACGTTAAAAAAGATTAACTCATCGGTTGATTTTATATTGCGACAATCATCCCAATGATAATTGTAGCCGCATCACAAAAGGAAGGGGATCCAAAGTTAGAATAAATCAAGCAAGTAGTCAGAGACTCAGAGCCATCAAAGAAGACAATGAGTGACGAGGGAGTCAAATCAAAACACCCGTCAATCATTTTTTAACTATTTTCTAAGCATTTCCCTTAACCTTAATTATTTATCCGCAATTTCCCTATCTTCCCTTTCACCATTTGAGATCTTGTTATCGTTGTCTTTTTCTATATTAATGGATTGCTGATCTATCACGATCATTAATGTGGTTACAAATAATCTCGTAAAAAGACGAATCCCCAGGAGGATTAATATAAAAAAAAATACGTGATTAGTTTCTAATTCCAAGACATAGTTAGCCGGCCAATCCTTTATAAAAGACAATGCCACTAGCTTTCCTATTATTGTCTGTCCCCCGATTTTCTACATATATAATATGAACTGATTCAAACATCTAACCATTAAATTTTGAAAATGGGTACCATTTTGATTTGAAAATGATGCCCTCAATATCCAACAGTCAATATATATGTGCCCGTGCATCTACCTGCTTGCTAAGCACCAAGAACTCTGATAGCCAAAATTCCTCCCCTTGACAAAAGCATGAGGGCATTGCAGCTTCTGATGCTACTAGGCTTGCTGCTATCTCCAGTCACCCTTTCACTAGCTCGTAAACCTAGAAGAGAGATCAGAGATCGTGAGGTGTATGGTAATGGGAGAATCTTCGATATTACCCACGAGATCAATCCTAACATGCCCACATGGGAGTCCAAGGACGGTCTGGGCCAGTTCATTTGGCTTGTTTCTAGCATGAAGAACGGTTCCAAACTTAATTCTTCTGAGTTTAAGCTGTCCACACACACAGGCACGCATATTGATGCACCTGGACATGTCTACGAGGAATACTATGAAGCTGGATATAACGTCAATTCACTTGACTTGGGTGTGCTTAATGGTAATGCAAATTTTTCCGTGCTTCTGTTTCCTTTGTTTTTTGCTTGTTGATTGTATGCTTTAATTGCTTAAATAGACGATAGCATATTCCTAGGACGTTAGATGATGATTTTAGGGAAATAAAATTTGCCTTAAAGATTAGCTCATACATGGAGTTTAAGCCCTCAATGGCTCAATATATTGTGTTATTGCTGGTGTTTAAATATCGATTTTCAAGGTGTTAGTCGGATGGTTATAATGGTTTGGAGGTGTGTTTTACAATCTTAGTTCCTGCAATTTCATGTTGGAGATCACCGATCATTGTTGTGTTTCTTTTTATTCAACAGGCCCTGCACTGCTGGTTGATGTTCCAAGGGATAGTAACATAACTGGTATGTGTTTAAGATGGACTCATTTCTCCTCTTCAATCCATACTATTTGTTTGTGTGTTAGAAAATTCTTATTTCTCTAGAGCTAATGAGATAACTATGTATGTCTAATTAGACAAGGTCGAAGTGCTTGTTAGATTTTGCCCATGTATCGATTTTAATTTATGGAATTGCTTAAAAGAAATTCTTGAAAATTCACTCGCCGTTTACATTGATGATGGCTGATAAGACATATCTTAGTAGTTTTTTAATACATCATGCTATAATGAGTCAAGCTTCTTGCATCAGCGGAGGTTATGAAGTCCTTGAATATTCCAAGGGGAGTGCGTCGTGTGCTCTTCAGAACTTTAAATACTGACAGGTAATTTTTTAGTTAATTCGTGCATTAAGTTTCTGCATCTCAAGTTTTAATACTGATAACGAAATCCAGAAATGTTTTCTGCAGATTCTTTTCTATACTAATTTAGCAGAAACATAGAAACTAATTCGTTGATGAACTAGAATTGAAATTCTAATGTGCGTTCTGTCCTCACCCTGTCTTGTGTCAGAAGACTTACCTTGACTGAAGGACCGCCCTTGTTTCTGTCATTAGTTTGATTCGAATAGCATAAAATGCTCTGCTAAATCTAGTGGAAACAACACTTTACAGATATTGGATTTAATTGAATTTCAGGAAGCTTATGTACAAAAAGGAATTTGACTCGAGTTATGTTGCATTCATGGAGGACGGGGCAAAATGGTTGGTTGAGAACACAGACATCAAACTAGTTGGTAAGATTAGATTAGTCCCCTGTTTAGCTCATGGTATCCAAATTCTCTCTGCATTGTAAGATACTGTACATCTCTGTATCATTATTTTACAAAACTGATGGTCCTTCTGTTATGAAATGCAGGAGTTGATTACTTATCCTCTGCTGCATATGTTAATACAATCCCACCTCATCTTATTTTCCTGAAAAAAAGAGTAAGAAATTATTTTGATTACAATTACTTCTGAAAACACTTGTTTTTCTCTTAATAACCGTCTACTCTTTCAGCTTACTGCCTTGCATGAATATGGATTCCTTTCTGGATATAAAATGGAAATTAAAGATTATGTCAAAAGCTGAAACTAATTGACTGTGCACAAATGTTGCAGCAAATCATTCTTGTGGAAGGCCTAAAACTTGACAACATTATACCAGGACATTATAATGTCCATTGTTTACCTCTGAGGATGCTTGGTGCTGATGGATCACCAGCAAGATGCGTTCTTATCAAATGATAATTGAACTCTGTAACTTGTCAGCTATTTAATTATCCTTTTCAACGGTTGTAAGTCATTTGATTTTTGAAGGTGATGTATCATTATATATTTAAGTCAATAATTATCCAGGGAATCATCTCTCTTGTTCGTTGTGAAACTTTGAACTTGTATGTTGATGTCAGGATAATGTTCATATGCATCAATATTGAAAGACAGCTGGAAAAAAACTCTGATATGCAGCATCAGTCATGAAACTTTTCTCAATAACTGGCTAACTATGATAACTATGGTTTTGGATTTGGATTTCTGTATCTAAGCCGAAGGCAAAATTATCAGGCAAGACCTTTCATAAGAAACCAACTTCCATCGCTTTCCCATTCTTGTCCTTCAGCATAAAAAAAATGTTCAGTAAATTAAGTCTGTAACCTGGGCAATGAACACCAAAATCACAAAAAATAAAAGAATATAATGATCCTCACGTGAAATTGCGGTGGAAGACGAAGTCTAACCAGTAATTGCTCTTCTCCACGACTTCTCTCTTAAGTGCATTCGTCCAAACAACTACCTACACACACACACACACACACGTGTAATGTGTCTTTGCTTGTACTTTAATTAGCACCCTGGTAGACAAATTCCTCCCTTGGACCAAAAACATGAGAACATTGTAGCAGCTTCTGCTGCTGCTATGCACTGGCGTGCTATCTCTAGCAACCCTTTCAACAGCTGACGATCCTGTTCATGTGACAAGAGAGAGTGCTGAGGCATACGGTAATGGGAGTCTTTGATATCACCCACGAGATAAATCCTAACACGCCCACATGGGAATCCAAGAAGGGTCTGGGACTCTACATCAGGCTCGTTGCGGCCAGCAACTTTTCTACTTTTAGCTTTCGGGGTGATCAAAACTAGCCAACGGACTCAGTCCTTTAACATCTTTTTTTCCAAATTCGATCCCCAAATATTCAAATTATTTTAAGTCGATAAAATAGAATTTGATTTAGTTATTTTGTTTTATAAAATCGATCAACTGGATTTTTTTCTTGACATTGCTAAAACCCCATATAAAGCTAATTGACGCAAACCATCGAATCCGATATCCTAAATCAACCTCTAATTTGAAATGATAAAATCAAAATAAAAAACAAAATCAAATTTGTGGCTTTGTACAGACCACATTAATTATCTGTCTTAGCATGTGTATGATATTGTAGTGTAGAGTGATGTTTAAAAGTGTTTTTTAATTAAAAATATATCAAAATAATAATATTTATTTATTTGTTATATTAACATATTAAAATCATTTAAAAAATATTAATATGATTTTTTAGATAAAAAATATTAATTTAATACTTTTATAAACAAAAAATAATTTAAAAAACAAATTAACAATGTTTAAGTGAAAAATCTGATCAGCGTCTAAAGTTATGGTTAATACTTGTTACGAGGTAAGTTACCATATCAACCTTAATTTCTTTAGTAAATCAATAGCATATACTCGCAACGCACCTTCGAAGTCACAAGGAGAGCCGAGCCAAAACTGAACACTGTGAAGAGCTGTATCGTTATGGTGAGGTTCAAGCACGTTCAGCAACCTTGAACTTGAACAGCACGTGTAAAAACAACAGCCATAACTCAATTCAAATGTCTCATAAGAATGCTTGAGGCGGACTAGGTGATCTTAAAGTTCGTCTGCAACAAATTATCGTGATCCAAACCACAAGTTAAAAGCTTAACATATACCAGGTATTCTAATAACTTTCAGATAAACAAGAATCCCATCAAGTCTTTAGCGTCTATGGGTCATTGAATTCTGGAAGTGCTAACAATACTCTACACTTGAATAGCAGTTTACGCACTGAAAAAGTGAGGAGTAACTCAGAATTTATGTAGCAACAGCGATCTAATCAATTTCATGAATACTTGTGATCCAAACGCTTTCTTTGGACTACAGTGCATGGTTGTAAAGGTTAACTGGTGACGTTGAAACCCAGGTAATGAGCGGGAGAAGGAAAGGAGCTCTTACAGCATCTTTCTTTGCATGCTACATATATGTTGCTTTTCAAGATGGAAGCATTAATAACATTTTAATATTTCCTCTCAGGATCCTCGTACATGTATGATTGGGTGCGGTTTAGCACCTTAGCCTTCCTTCTACCCGACGATAAGGATTAAGGTACAATTCTTTTTTTTTTTTTTTATTTAAAGGAACAATTCCTTAAAGGAGGAGTAGCATCTGCTGAAAGTTTGCTCACGTTCTTCATGGATAAGTGATTCTATTTATGTTCATGATAAACGCAACAGAAGCTCAAATAAACTGATGAGGTATATGAAATAACAACACAGGAAAAATAAACTAAACCAGAAAGGAGGTGGAGCTGACTTTAACTTGTTGAAGAGCCATGTGAAAGATTAGCTCTCAAGCGAACATTTACTTGATCAAGAATTATGATACGTGATATTAGCTCAATCCTCATACATGGTCGTTTTTGACAACTATAAAAGGAGTTGTTATCAATGACAATTTCATTCCCAAAGTAGCAAACTAGCCTTTAACTATGAAGAATCAACTCGGGTCTTGCTCGACAGTTCTACAGTTACCAATGACTCCAGTCACGAAACTGCTTTTTGTGCCAAGTTTACTTCTGATGCTTGTTGCTGTATCAGAGGCATCTCTATCAGGCATGGTTAGCGCCCCAAGTTATGCAAGATGCATGATCAAGAGATACAGGCATTGCTATAACCTGGAGCAGACTTGCCCTTCATTCTGCCATAATGGATGCGTCGTCGAATGTGTCTCTTGCATGCCTATGTGTGTTGGAGACTCGAGCCCGACCCTAGGCTATTCTATTTCTTTGCCAAACCCTCTCACTCTTCTTCCACTAGAATTCCCAAAATCTCATACCCGTTCTTTGCTAAATGTTTATCCATCAGAGTCCGATGGCAATGATAGCGGAAGTCCACCAAAATCTGAAGGATCTAATGAAAAACCATCACCTTCAGAACAGAGCGGCGATGATGGTGATGAATCTGAAGGATCTAATAAAAAGCCATCACCTTCAGAACATAGCGGCGATGATGATGATGAATCTGGAGGATCTAACAAAAAGCCTTCACCTCCAGAAGACAACAATCATGATGATGAATCTAACAAAAAGCCTTCACCTCCAGAAGACAGCAATCATGATGAACCCGAAGGTTCTAACAAAAAGCCATCACCAAAATCTGAAGGATCTAATGAAAAGCCATCACCTCCAGAACAGAGCGGCGATGATGGTGGTGAATCTGAAGAATCTAATGAAAGGCCATCACCTCCAGAAGACAGCAACGATGATGGATCTAACAAAAAGCCTTCACCTCCAGAAGACAGCAATCATGATGAATCTGAAGGTTCTAACAAAAAGCCTTCCCCTCCAGAAGACAACGGCCGTGACAAATCTGAAGGATCTCACAAAACGCCTCCACCATCAAATTCTGATCATCCACCATCTCAAACCCCTCCAATTTATGTAACTCCGCCCTCAACTCCATCATCTTCGCCATCATCACATTCACCTCCTACTACCACTCCATCTTCACCGCCATGGTCAACACCTTCACCAACACCTCCTACCACCACTCCTACTTCGCCTTCACCTCCATCTCAATCCACACCTTCTCCAACACCTCCTACCACCACTCCATCTTCACCTTCACCAACACCTCCTACTACAACTCCCTCTTCACCTTCACCTTCACCTCCATCTCAATCCACACCTTCTCCAACACCTCCTACTACCACTCCACCTTCGCCTTCACCTCAGTCTTCATCAACACCTCCTAACACTACTGCTTCACCATCTACACCTACTCCAACACCTCCTACAACACCATCTAATCCTTCTCCACCATCAACTCCTACTCCATCTCCACATACTCCCACTCCACCTACTTCCTCTTCTCCCCCTCCATCTACTCCTTCTACCTCACCCAAGACAGCCCGGTGTAAAAACAAGTACTACCCCAGATGTTACAACACTGAGCATGTGTGTCCCAGTGCATGCCCTGCTGGATGTGAAATTGATTGCGCCACTTGCAAGCCTGTTTGCAGTAAGTAGTTCAAAGCAATTAATATTCTTACACAATCATCTAAGTTTAAATTCCATTAGTTTAATTTCATAACATGATGAAATATGATGCTTCTTTAGCCAAGTTTTATAAATGGTTCGAGGGATCCATTGTATCATCGAATTATAGTTGCTTTCCTGTTTGGCAGAGTGTGATAGACCAGGAGCAGTGTGTCAAGACCCTCGTTTCATTGGTGGTGATGGCATTACCTTCTACTTCCATGGCAAGAAGGACCACGATTTCTGCCTTGTATCTGACCCGAACCTCCACATCAATGCACATTTCATTGGAAAGCGAAATGAGAAACTAACGCGGGACTTCACTTGGGTCCAGTCCATTTCTATCTTCTTTGACAAACACCAACTCTTCCTTGGTGCACTTAAAGCATCTACATGGGATGACTCTGCGGACCGCCTCTCTCTCGCTTTTGACGGAGAGCCCCTGAACTTCCCAGGCAATGAAGGCTCCAAATGGCAATCCACAAGTGTGCCAAGTGTATCCATCACTAGAATTAGTGACAGCAATAATGTCGTAGTTGAAGTTGAAGGACTCCTAAAGATCACAGCAAAGGTTGTGCCTATAACTGAAGAGGATTCAAGAATTCACAATTATGGCATAACCAAGGACGATTGTTTTGCTCATCTTGATCTTGGTTTCAAGTTTTACTCTTTAAGTAACGAAGTCGACGGTGTGCTGGGCCAAACATATAGACCAGGATATGTGAGTCGTGTAAATGTGGGTGCGAAGATGGCTGTGATGGGAGGAAACAAAGAGTTTGCAACTTCAGGCTTATCCAGCCCAGATTGCGCTGTAGCCCGTTTCAGAGGTGGTAATGGCTTTGAAGGGGCAGGCTACATGGGGAGTCTTGAGTTACCAAGCATGAGATGTGCAAGTGGGATTGATGGTGAAGGAGTTGTGTGCAAGAGATAGGCTTAATTATGAATCAATTATGAGCCGCATGCATTAATACGATTGATAAAAAGAATAAGGTTGAAAATCACTGGGGATAAAAATAAAATAAAAAAGAAACCCTCTTGTACTGCACATTTAAAAGCTTCATGACATCAATTGTGTCTTGATAAAAAAAAACTCCGGCAATTTAAAACTGATTTTTCTTCTGTTGAATCTCAATAAAAATTCTAATGATTTTCGTCTTTTTCAAGGGTCTTCATCATCGAATGACTTGCTATCAGAATCTACCTGTTTATTAGAACTACATATCTCCACAGGAACATTGAAAGATATTTGTTGTGAAGTTCTAGCAGAGATAATTCTAATTTTTTTTTATGGCTAAACACTTTATAGGGCTGCCAGCCCCGTTACAAGGCTTACAAAAACAGAGCAATAATGTTGAAATAGAATATACTTTCGAAATTTTGATGGCCTTAGCTCACCACGAAGTTTCTGAAATTGAGTTAATGAGGCAGGATATAAAGTGAAACTCAGAAGTTGAATTAAGATGGACAATGGAATGAAGTACAATTTGGTGCATTTTCGTAACGTATTATTTATAGTCACGTAACGTTTTTGAACAAAGTAATATTGTCGTATCTTCAGCCGCCTTGAGAAATATTCATGATTGCTTTCTCTCGACTTGTTTGTATACTGTTCTTCTTCCATTTCTCTTCTTACCTGCAAATCAGTTGTCAAACTTGAGCAATTTAAACATTAAAATCTTCGAGACAGTTAGTTTGGTCATTCATGGAGTTAAGCAGGATATACCTGATCTTTGTCTTGTTCTAGGATTGACAAGTTGGGGTATAAACACCCCAGTTCCTGCATTGTCATTTCTCCACAAGCTTCCAAGCCACTTTGGAACTGAACTGCTATTCTCGCTTTCCCAACAGCTAAAGTAGCTTCCTGGTTGTGCTGCAATGGTAACGGTGGTTGTTAACCTCTTCAATCTTTGCTTGTTAGCACTAGTGGAGTTTAGATGTCTGGTTTGGAGGAAATCTTCATCTTCATCTTCTGTCAAAAGCAAAACCTGCTTTCTAATTTCAGCATAAAAAACGTCATCTTCATTGATTCCTTCGTGCTCGAGATTTTGGTCTCTGTTCTTGGTCATGTTGGCTCGTGAAATTCTATGGGCTCCAACTAAGCATGGACTGCAAAATACAGAAGAACCATATATAAAGGCCAACGCTTTTTCAGAGGGTGCAGAGAACGCAGGTAAATTAGATCCATCCAAGTCTAAGGAACATTTATAGTGATGTGTATGCTTTGTGAACGTCTTTTACCTGTCCACGACATTTGTTTCAATTGATCCGACAATCTGACATAAGATCTTGGAGTTAAGAAAGTCCGAAATTCACTGCATTGGCTCTATTATGCTTAAAAAAACCAAGTAAATATCAATTAAGAGTATCAACAAGGTGACTGGCGACCGCAACAGATAGCTTATTGGTGGATTGGCTCTATTATGCTGAAAAAAACAAGTAAGAGTGTATTATGCACCAAAATCTGGACGGTCAAGTAACGGGCTTTGATTTCTATTTTTTATAATTTCGGTGTCAATACACTCAGACATGATTGCTTCAACATTGGACTTGAATTGTAATGAAATGAGAGTGGAACCAAGTTAAAGGACATGCCAAAAACTAGACAAGGTTGAAAATAGAGTCCAAGGAAGATAGACAAGTCCGCCTGCACAAAACAGAGTCAGACAGAAATGTAGCCATCCACGGAACAAGTTCTCCGAAACAAAGTAGCCATCAACGGAACAAATTATCCGCAACAAAGTTAGCAACTATATAATATGAGTTTGCAGACAGGCATCGAGTTAAAATTCCCTTTCTTAATTTCAGTTCAGTTTGGTTGTTTACCTATTCTTTCTTCTTCTTCTTTTTAAAATATTATCCTCTTCCTTTCTGTTTTCTAGTAATTCCATGCTGCCATTAATTATGATTTAAAATCCAATCATTGCATATTACATGAATTAGTTGAGTTTTTATTTTAGTTTCAACTCTATTTATACACGTGCTGCAAATAATTTTTTTTAAATATTATAGTACATTAAATTAGGCTTTAATGAGGCTTTTACTGTGAGGCCCATGGATTTATTTTAACTATTGATCCTCTAAGTTAAGCTCATTTTTCTAGTCCATAGATCTGCCTGAAGGCTGCTAACTAAAAATATTGAGAATTTGTTAGTAGCTTGTAATTAATTAAATATTGAGAAAAAACAATCAATTAAAATAAGTAGATCAAAGTGGATTGTGAACAAGGTATGTCTTTCCTTGGTCTCTTATAATTAATTAAAAAGGATGTTGAGCATGGGTCTTCATTATCTTGCAAATAGTTTTGAAAATAAAAATCATTTAAAAAACATAAAAGTTATTTCAATTTTTAGTATGTTTTTTCTAAATTTAGTTTTTAATTAATATCATCTTTCTAATTTTTTAAATTGCTTGCTTTGTTGTTTCCAAGTAGCGATTCATCTTTTAAATTATTCATGTGATTTTGTAACACATCAAAGGATTTATTTTCAATTTTTTCTATTGAATTTTAGATAAATAAGTTATATTTTTTGGTTCATTTATAAGAATAAAGAACCATACATGCTTAATTATAATTAACCTTCAAAATAAGTAAAAGAGAAGGTATAAAGTTAAAAGGATAGAAGAGGTAAACTATCTTCATATGCACGTAACTTTTGTTTCTTATACGAATATCAATTTTTTATTTTAGTTTTTAATTAGTGATATAAAATCTTTATAATTTATCAGTTCATATATATATATATATATATATATATATATATTTTAAAATCTGATCAAATAGAATCTTTTATAAATAGTTTGATGGGATGAATCTTATATTTTAAACTAAAAGTCTAAATAATACCATGTGTAAATTTATATTTAAAATTATAAATATAAAAATCGTAAAGAATATGAAGAGAAAGTTTGATATTTTTTCTTTAATAAATTAATTGATTTTATCAAATATATGATTGCTTTATCAGTTCATGATTATACCATTGTTCATGGCTTAAAAAGTTTAAAAGCTATGTTCATAGCTTCTCAGTTTAATGTTCGGTATTATTAATTTAACATTTATACTTTTTAATTCTCAAAATATATTTTATGTTTTTTCTCTGTTTTCAAAGTAAACCACGTAAAAATAGAGGATAAATCTTAATTTTTTATCTTATATTTTTAAATACAAATAATGTTTACTATATCTTTTTAGATTTTCTTATTTATTTAGAATATTTGATATTGTTAAATTATTTAAAAGGATTTTATTTGATTAAATTTAAAAAATATATGAATTAAAAAGACTATTTTCTATCAAGTTGGATAACCTAAAATAATATAATATGGGCATGCAAGATGAGTAGAAAAAAGATACATTAGAATAATCAAGTCAATGTTATTAAATTTGATCTAGTAAATTAACTTTAAATAAATTCTAAATTAAATTAGGATGGAATTTAATTTGATCAAATTTCATGGATAAAATGGATGAATACACTTAGTTAAATTTGATAAAAAATCAGTTTGATTTAAAAGAAAATAAAAAATCAAAACAACAACTTTTTATTTTTTTTAAGGATGTCGTTTGGAATTTATCTTATCTGGCTTTGAAAATAAATGAAATGTAAACTCGGCCACATAGTAAATTGAAATTAACCCCAAGATTGATGTTGGAATGTCTTATAAATCCTCCCCTGTGGCCTCGCCGCCTTCGCCAATTAAACCCAAAATCAAAGCCCATTTTCTCTAAGAAATTAAGCCCAGATTGACTGAAGCCCCACCCAACAGCCCACAAGACAAATAAGAAACCGAGATCCACTCTTCTTCAGTTTATTAGTGCTCTCTCCCTCTCTCTCTCTTACACGCACGAACGCTCACAGACAACTCCAAAACCCACGACAATGGAAAGCGTCTCCTACCAGCGCTTCCCAAAAATCAAAATCCGAGAAATGAAAGATGACTACTTAAAATTCGAGCTACGTGAAACCGACGCGTCAATGGCCAACGCTCTTAGGCGAGTCATGATCGCCGAAGTTCCAACAATCGCAATCGACCTCGTTGAAATTGAAGTGAACTCATCGGTCTTAAACGACGAGTTCATTGCTCACCGACTCGGCCTCATTCCTCTCACCAGTGAGCGCGCTATGGGGATGCGATTCTCGCGTGACTGTGACGCTTGTGATGGTGACGGCCAGTGTGAGTATTGCTCTGTTGAGTTTCATTTGAGAGCTAAGTGTATAACGGACCAGACGCTTGATGTTACCAGTAAGGATCTGTACAGTTCGGATCATGCCGTCACTCCTGTTGATTTCTCTGATCCTTCTGACGATAATGATCCTTTCGAACATACAGAGACGCAGAGGTATTTTTTGTTCTTTTTCTTTGGTACTTTTGGCATTTTTTTTAATTCTAGGGTTTAAGGGGTTTGTTGGTTTTGAGTATTAACTGAGAAGAGGCAGTTTTTGTTGTTTTTGAAGAGTAATGTGGGGTTTCGCTGATGCTAACGTTAGGGTTTTGTTAGAAACCTGTGTTCCTTGTTTTTTTTTTTTTTTGTTGACATTGTAGTTTAAATATGAGTTGTTCAAAATTTCTTATTGCTTGGCAAAATGGTTAGGACTTCTTAGGTTTTATTGTGTTTTCAGGGTTTAGCGATTTTTTTTTTGGGGGTGGTTGTTTCCTTAGCTGTAAGTTGAAATGGAAATGCGATTCTTGTTCATTTTATTTATTTGTCAGTTAATTTGTATATGGTTAAAAGCTGGATAATTTGAGAGGAAAACTCTGGATTTTTAATTCTTTTTCCCTGTTAAAGTGAAGTATTTAGTATTGAATCTAATGTACAAACGAATGAAATAAACTAATACTTTCATGCGCTGGTTGACGCTGTAAAAATTGGAGCTGAGTTTGTTGTATTTGTTTTGGGTTGTGTTAATGTAGGGGGATTATTATTGTGAAATTGCGCCGTGGGCAAGAACTGAGACTGAGAGCCATAGCTAGGAAAGGGATTGGGAAAGATCATGCGAAATGGTCTCCTGCAGCAACTGTAACTTTCATGTATGAACCTGAGATTCATATCAATGAAGATTTG